TTCACCTCTTTGTTGCACCCTATTGCGTGCCGCAGACAACAACTTGTGCAACACCAAGTCATCTTCATCAGAGCTTTCATTATCGGATGAAGAAGAAACAATCGAACCCGCAAAATTATTCATATCTATGTTTGAAAGGGTGTTTGAAAGTGTGAATGGAAATGTGTTTGTTTATATGTTGTGTATGTATTTATATATGTGTATTAAGTTTTGTTTGAATATATTTTTTTTTTATCTTGGTAAGGGTCAAAAGAAAAGAAAGAAAAAGAAACGGTCAAAAAAATGGTCCACCAATCGCATTTGTCGTCTTCCTCCGTAGCCAGCTTCACGTCACAAGACACCTACCCCCATTGGGGCGGTGTTCACGCGTGGCTAGGGCTGCCACGTAGGCAGCACGCGTAGCCTTCCTGGCTTGATACCGAATAGCCTAAGTGGTAAGTGGATCTTATGTTTAATACTTTTATGGACTCTGACCAACATATATACGTACCTTCTCATACAACTTTTTTTTTACCTTTATTTGTCCATCCACCTTATCATCACGCTCGATGATTGTCCATGTAAGGTTACAAGTCATTGTTACATCTATTTGAATAAAGATAAAAATGACATATAATGACGACCAACTATCACAAAATTTGTCATTTGAGTAATAAAAGTTCTAAGGTGTCCAATATGTCACTAAATATCATTTTTATGTTTGAATAGCATCATTGTGACCTACAATGGTATGTAACTAATCACTCGTCCTATGTGGCGTCTTCATGGTATTCATGATGGATATGAAGAAACCAATATTCATCTTGAAACCCTTTGAAACCTTGGAACGAATCCTTTTAAAATCGAACCCAAAAACCCTTTGAAAATTTTATAAAATCAACACCAAAAACATGAATTGTGGGTTGAATAATTCAAGAACAAGGTTTCATTGAAGAATATATAAACGATAATAAATTCATCCATCATATTGAAAAGAAAACCCCACTTTTATCATCAAAAAGCAAAACAAAGAAAAGAAGATGAATACTATTTACCCACGGAGATGAAGAAGAAAATGAACATGGATACCAATACCCATTTTGTATCTAATAATTAAAATAATGTACAAATAAAAGCTAAGTTTGAATTTAGATTTTATTAAGAAATCCATGTACTTTGCCATTCACAACTTGATGAAATTTGCCACGCAGAATGTGAAAAATACATGCAGACATTAAAACCGGTTAAACATGTCTATGATAACATTAAAACGAAGCCTGATAAATTGTGTAGACATTATTAGAACTTTAAGGTTCGAAAAACAAATTTATAATAATCGATTACAAACTTACAGTTATATTTCCTTTAGAGCATATAATTTTAAGAAATAATAATTAAACTGATAATTGGTAATGGTAACCCTAATATTGTGATCTTGAGAGTGAATGAATAAAAAATTAAAAACCAAAGTAGATGTGAACATATACCAAGACTTTGTTGTTGATTGAAAAAGTTCTCCGGTCTATTCAATTCTGTCTTCTTCAGGACACGCCTCACCACAACACAACACTGCACAAATCAATCAAGATAAAAAACCATACAGATTCTTCATGCAAAGATCCAACCCTTTTATCTCCTCCACAAAACTTTGAATCTTTCTTTCCCCTTTGATATACCTGTTCATGGAGTCGCCGGAGAACGGCCGGATACCTCTTGAACAAGCCGAGCAGATCGTCCTCCGGTGGGACTCCACGGTCTCTGAGGAGGCAAGGGCCCGAATGATCTTCGAAAGCGATCGTCCAGAGATCGACCAGTACTTGCAGGCTGTCGATGAAATCCAACGATCCATGGAGTCAACGACCTTGGCCGATGACGATGGAGACGACGAAGAGTCAAAGAAAGTCAACACCACCATCCAGATTGCCATGGCTCGTCTCGAGGATGAGTTCCGTAACATACTCATCTCACACGCTACTCCGATTGAAACCGAATCACTCACAGAATCGATCTCTTCCAATCATTTGACTCCCAGAACCAGCAGTTCCTTCAGTGAATTTCATGAAAATGATGACTACAGCAACAGAGGGGAAGAGGACGGCAGTTCCAGAGACGGATCTTCTTCGTTTTTGGAACGGGGAGAGAGCAGTACCACAATCGCGAGCTACAGATCCATGAGTAGTATTCGCGAGATCGATCTCATACCATCCGATAGCATATACGATCTCCGTTGCATCGCTGACCGTATGATCGCCGCCGGATACTTCCGTGAGTGCGTTCAGGTCTACGGCAGCGTACGTAAGTCCGCGGTTGATGCTAGCTTCAAGAAACTCGGCGTTGAAAAATTGAGCATCGGCGATATCCAACGCCTCGAATGGGAGGCCTTGAACGCGAAGATCGGGAAATGGATTCGAGCCGCGAAAGTTTGCATTAGGGTTTTATTCGCCAGCGAGAAGAGACTCTGCCAGCAAATCTTCGAGGATTTAGGAACAGCAGCCGATGATGCGTGTTTCATGGAAACTGTTAAAGGACCGGCGATCCAGCTCTTTAATTTCGCTGAAGCTATCAGTATTAGCCGGAGGTCGCCGGAGAAACTGTTCAAGATCTTGGATTTACACGACGCCTGTATGGATTTGTTGCCTGACATCGACGCCGTTTTTTTCTCCAAATCAGCCGAATCAATTAGGGTTCAGGCAACGGAGATACTCTCCAGGCTAGCGGAGGCTGCTAGAGGGATGCTATCGGAGTTCGAAAACGCAGTCCTTCGCGAACCTTCTCGAGTTCCAGTCCCCGGAGGGACGATTCATCCATTAACTAGGTATGTGATGAATTACATAAGCTTAATCTCAGACTACAAACAAACCCTAGGCGAATTAATAGTCTCCAGACCTGCAACCGGCTCCAGATACTCCGACGATTTAACCACTCCAGACATGGATTTCACCGACCACGAAGGTCAATCGCCATTAGCACTCCATCTAATCTGGATAATCGTGATTCTGCAATTCAACCTAGAAGGAAAATCCAAACACTACAAAGACAACTCCTTAGCTTTTCTCTTCATCATGAACAATGTCCATTACATCGTTCAAAAGATCAAAGGTTCACCGGAGCTAAGAGAGATGATTGGAGACAGTTATTTAAAAAAACTCACAGGTAAATTCCGGCAGGCTGCAACACGATACCAAAGAGCAACATGGGTCGGGGTACTGTATTGCTTAAGGGACGAAGGTCTACACGTGAGTGGAAGCTTCTCATCTGGCGTTTCAAAGAGTGCATTACGAGAGAGATTTAAATCGTTCAACACCATGTTTGAAGAAGTACACAGAATGCAGGCGTTATGGTTAATCCCTGACACACAGCTTCGTGAGGAGTTGCAGATTTCGATCTCAGAGAAATTGATTCCAGCTTACAGATCGTTTCTTGGAAGATTCAGGACTCATATTGAGAATGGGAGGCACCCTGAACAGTATATAAAGTACTCTGTTGAAGATCTTGAGACTGCTGTGTTGGATTTCTTTGAAGGGTGTGCAGTTTCACAGCATTCGAGAAGAAGATCACAGTGATATTGTAGGACATTATTATTCTTTTATTTTTTGGTGGGGTGTTTCATTGACATTGATTGGTTCAGAAATCAGAATCAGATAAAGGAAAGAAGAAGAAGAAGATGAAGCCTCCTGAGGAGTCAAGATCTCCTTCTCTGTACGTGTAAGCATGTTGTTTGTTTTGTTTTGATTATATTTTTCCACTAGTTAAGATTTTTGTTTCATTCGTTTGTATGGAAATTTGTTATACATCATATGTGCATCTTACATTACATGAAATTGGAGTCTGTCAATGTGGTTTTTTTTTTTTAATTTTTTTCAATCAAGTCATGTATATAAAATGACTGAATCGGTAAAGATGTATGTCTCTATAACACCACTTTGAGATTTATCTCGATCATAAAGATGAGTCTGGCTGGTCAAAGTTGGGTTTTATACATGTTTGACCATTCTCATTCTGTCTTGGTTTGACCATGACTTTTGCATATTATGTTACTATCATTCAGATGATTGTTGAGAGGAATCTGGCTTCGACTAAATTCCCCAATTTTCTTGGTGGGGAAAGGTTTGACTAAATCTATTTTGAATGTGTTCATAGATGGAGGCTGAAGAAGTTTTGGAAGAAAACCAGTCAACAAGCAAATATTATTTTTCATTCGAAACTTGGCTTTATTTTATTTTGTAATTTAATTAGTTTTTTCCTTGTGTAAATCTAAATTTTTTGTAGGTGTTAATTTTGATCCGTTTGTTTATAATGAGTCGTTTTTTTTTTAAATCCCAAACGATTCAAATTGATAAAAAGTTGGAATAGGTCGAAATGGACTGAAACTCTCACAAACGTGTTTATAGTTATACTTAAAACATTAATTATATATAGGATTTAAAAAAATGTTATTCGCTTAAATGACATCGGATCCTCTTCCACACCGTCGATTTCCACTGGATCCCATGTTACTTGAATGATATGCACCGAGACTGACAACAAACATCATAGCCGTATATGGATACACATAACAAACAATATCTAAGTAACTGTTATCTCGTCAACAATGTCAATCGTCTGATATTTGTAGAATAACTTGATCTGATTGTCCACCACACGTAATTTTCTAAACACCAAACTAATGAACCCGATATTGGTTATACACACATGTAAATTTAAGGTGCAATTATTGTTAACATCCGTTGGCATATAATCTCAAATAATAATCATATTCTTTCACATCCATCGACTACAAAAAAGTACTTTAATACTATTATTTTGTAAATTCATGACTAGTTCAAATATATAGGAAGATAAAGATGATAGAGTAGTACATTGAGAGAAAAAACCGGATATAAAAAACCTTAAATGCTACTCTTCTATTTATTTAGAATATTTGATCGGTGCAACAACCATGTGAAATTAGAGATATTGTGAACCAATTTGTGTAGTGAAAGGAATAATTTGGATTTAACAAATGACTGTTTTTTAAAAAAAAAAAACCAATGACAATATTGTTAATTAAAATTACCAACAACAATATTCAAACGATAATATTAGAAAATGACAATTAATAATTTAATAATAAGAGGTGGAAGAAGATATGACGTCATCTAATATATCCACATATTTGATGGGGAGGAGCTCATGGTCTGGCTATAGGAAAATATGGTTTGAGCGGGTGGTGTGATACATAAAGGTAAACCATATGGATTACAATGTGGGCAAATGAGATTCGTATAGGTAATGCGACATTCATTTTTATAACAATGATTTTTTTTTTTTCCAAAATTTTCTCATAGCCTCTTTTAGGGTCATGGTTGGAATAGGGAAAACGACCATATACAAGCCTTTTGTAAGATTCTGTATGGGAAGAACGTTGAATGAGTCCAATTAGATTGACATCATTACTGCATGGGATGATGGAAGTAATAAAACCTTGCAAACAAAAGTTGTCAGACAGCTATTTTCAGAAAAAGTAATAACGTGAGGTTTGCGAGGTGAACTTTGCTATCTTCATGGTCATTTTCATAAAATTTGGAAAAATATTGGTCTTCTTGAAATATATCACCCAATTTATACTCATTTTAGTGAATCACTCTTCAAGAAAAACCATAAAAAATATAAAATCTATCCACCTGTTCTGATATGCATTTAGAAGTATCCAAATTAAGTCTTTACCTAACCTTTTCAAGTAGTCCATTTAGTCACCTCAATAATGTATTCTGATTTAAATAAATAGTTCCTTTTCATGTATTTAATAGCTCTTTTTGTTTGAAACCAGCACAACATTTACGAGAGGTGGTGCTAATTGTCGGTTATAATGGAGAATAAGTAGTTAAGTACAATGAAAGTAAAAGGGTTTTCTGCTTACTAACGGGTTTAGTGGGAAATGATTATAATGTAGATCACTGAAACTTCCATTTTATCTACATCTTTGTTTGTTTTATAATACACAACATCCCATTTGACAATTTGTGGGTAATTTCTTATGTAAAGCCCCTCCCTTTGGGGTATTAAAATTCAAAATCAATTATATATTAAAAAAAAAAGAGTAATAAAATCCTCGTGCAATATACAGTAACTATTAGTAAAAATTCTATAATATTTAGCAAAAGAAATTTAAGAGTTACTTAATAAGCATACAAAGACCCAAAGATACAAGAAAATGCTCTCACCTCACCTAAACCCATTCATATCATCATAATTACTCAGTTTTATCTTCTTCCAAATCTCCATCTTCACTCTGAAGCACAGATCTCATTTCACTTACTTCTTTTGTAGCAACAGGAGATGGTTTTATAAGCATCAAACTATCCTCCTTATCAAATTCCTCACTTCCATCATCAGAATACGCATACCTATGCAACATTAACAAAATCAAAATCATATAACAATAAAAAAAATATATTTCAAACTCTTGAAACATATTTTATAAAAACAGGGTTATGTTTTTTTTTACCGCATAGAGTTCTGAGATGGTGCCCAAAGAGCACAAATGACACACAGAAGAGAGAAAGACAGAACATGCCAGAAAGCAGGAATTATCCAAGCATTTTGCCATTGCTCATTGTATATATCAGTCGACTTAAAATAAAGCTGCAACAAACAAAACAAAATCCCACATTTGTCAAAAACTTCACTTTTTCCAGATTAAGTGCTTAACCCATTAAGCCCATTAAGTTACCTCATAGCATATCCACCCTACAGACACAATAACAGCTACAGCCAACGCGTTTGTAAATTTCCTGTATATATCTAGTTTCCCCATCATTCTTTTAGCCTGTCATATCATATTATCATATATAAGTTATCAATCAATCAATCCCTGATAAATTATCAAAAAGAAAAAAATTGCATACCTGGAGTTTATTCAGAGTTGAAGAAAGGGAGGTGAAAATCCATAAAACAAAGAAAGCATCCAAAACAGCAACAGGAAGAGACAAAAACAACATGGCCTTTCCAGAAAGATCACTAACAGCACCAACATGTTCCACCAATTCAAGAACTTCAGAAGCAACAAAAAAAGTAGCTCCAAGCATCACAACTTTTGAAGTAAGCCCACCAAGGGTAGGTCTAACAACACCATACCCCATGGAAACAGTAAGAATGATCAACCGTGAAACAGTCCGTTTAACAGTGCCAAAAGTTACTGCCCATATAGTAATCCCAGTTGGCCGGACCCCACTTTCGTTAAACTCCGCATAATCAAAATACCATAATGCCATTTCAAACATACCCAGAGTTATAACTAATGTTATACAGTTTTGTAACTGAAGAACCTCCTTCCAGAATCTTGCATATTGAGAGAACCAGAAGATTCCCAACAGTAAAAATGCAAGAGACATGAACCCGTAAAAGTTCAAAAGTGGGGCCATTCTTCCTGGAAGGTAACCAGAGGGGTTTTTCCATATGGTTTTACCTTGTACAACCATGTCACCGAGTTGTGGTTCACAGTGCATGAAGTATAGATTATACATTCCTGTTCTTGTGATTTGTACAGATCTTGGTTGCATGATGAAAGTATTGTCAGTGGAATCAAATGGGACATAGAACACTTCAGGCCAACCCGGGTTTGTTGTTGAAAGGCGATGAATGACTTCTCCTTCCTTACATGCGCCTAGTTTTGCTAGATCTGATGTGCAGCAGATAGCTCTTTGGCCTCCATATGCGGATCCACCAATGGTTTCGCGATCATCCACTTCAAAAAGAATGGCGTAGATGAAGCCTGTGCTAATGTTTGCAGCATCTTCAGTCCTCTGAAATGTGATCTTTTCAAAACTACATCCAGAGAAGAATTGGGTTAGATTTATAATAGATGAATGACCATAATTGTTATTAGGTTGGTATTAACATTTTAATGATACTTGTTGGCTAATATGTCATACTCATCACTTTTAGGTAATATAACTATACAGATCACAATAACATGAACAAGAGCAAAAATGTCAGGTGAAACATGAACCATTCTTATGAAGCAAATAGAGAGCCTAAGGAAAACAAAAAAGCTTAACCAGTAAGCTTGGATCTAACCTAGGTTTTGATTTAGCCTACCTCAACTCAGTTCAAGTAAAAAGCTTATTGTTGTTGGAGGATTCAACATTCAAGTTACTATCTATGAGAATCACCAGAATTTGGCATGAATGTTGCTCTTAGATGCCAAATCATTATAAAAACATTGATGTGCTTCACTTAAGCTTCTAATTAGCCGCGACAAGGACATAGTTGCTTCTAACGATGCAGCTTATTCAAAACATTTGGGGGGTGAAATGGACTTCTCATTTTCAAATTTATATTGAATCAGCTAACATATGATACTAATTGAATTTAACCGCATCAGTTATTCAATTCATTTCACGAAACATCAACAAAAATGCTAGCAAACGAGGTAGAGTACTTGTCAGCTCATGGATTGGAATTACCGTATATACGCATCGCCATTGGAAGATGCGGAAGATTCGTTGAGGTTAGGATGAGAGTAATAGATTCCCTCACTTCCTCCATGGACTACAAATGCATTTCCCTTTCTGGAGAACTTTTCTCCGGTGTAACTATGCACCGAAGCCTGAACGCATAAAACCCTAACAAGCAGTAGCAACGATATTGCCGCCAAGGAATCCAGCAACGGCATTGCTTCTTCTGTTGAAGGAATTCAGATCTAAGGAAGGAGAAAAACACGCAGATCTGTGTTATGGAGGTGTGTACTGGGGTGTGAGTGATAGATCTCCAGTTGAATACCTCAAAAGTCCCGATGAGGAATTTTTTAAGTGGTTAACCATGGTTAAGTTGTAGTTGACTCATGGTGTTAGGGAGTTCTTGTATTCTGTGTCACGGCTCTGAATAGTCTTGCACCGACTGTGCCCATTAATGAGGTCGTATTTCCTGATTTTGTACGTATTAGACTGTAGGGCCACATTTCCAAGACTCATGTTGTTTCCGGAAAATAAGTAGGACTGTGGCTTGCCGAGATGGACGTGGAATATGGTAACCACCATTTTTCGGAACAAGAGTTCGGGCACTTTGAACTAGGAAGAAAATGGCAGCAGATGTTGAAGATATTGTGGTTTTACGGGTATATTCTCGTTTCCTTTACTTATTTCTTTCATGATTCTAGATACTATGAAAACGTACTATAAAATGTGTAAACCAAATCCGTAATACAATGAACTAGTTTGGAACGTTTCCTTTTTTCGAATAAGAAAACATAGAATGCTATTGCGGGTCAGTAGATAGCATGATGCCATGATATGTCTTAGGGAACTAGTAATATGGTGTCAAAACTTCTTCTTGTTTCCATTACACCCACATTTCGACAGGTCTGAAATGTGATAAGAATTCTAAAATACGACGAATTGTCTGAAAAGCAACAAACCGTCCAGAATGATGTACTCTGAAATGTTGGTACAAAATACGCAAGTTCAATTAAACTAACTTTGAAATTTTTTATTAAAGCATGACAATGTGTATGTCGCTTCTCTGACCATTTCATGCAAACCTAAACTTGGTGTGATTATTCTTGCGAAGTAGCAACCTCACCTGACTTGTGAGGCTTTTTACCGACAGTCATGCTTTAGGAGGTGGTTAGATATTCTTGGCGGTCTGGATATGTTCTTCCAGCAGGTCAAGTACGAGTTCTAATCTGGAAAGAAATTGCAATTTAGTGATTATTTTGTAGGCTACTTTGTCCAGAAACAAGTGTTTCCTTTAGTTAAAAGGAGTGACTCAATGTAGTTGCAACATGTAGATGATGTATTTGAAAAATTACTTGATAAGTTATTGGACGAGGATGCGATCTGTGTGTTTGATGTACATGTTGGAAAGAGGGTTTAACGGTTGGTACCCTCGACAATCCGTGAAGAAGTACCTTGCACTCATATTCGATCTTCAAGAGTTCGACATGTATGGTTTGCTGCCATAGGTACCCATGGGTCAGGGTTGTTTGGGATGTATTGTACAAAATGTACAATAATATGGCACCCATGGGACAGAGTTGTTTGGGATGTACTATACAAATATACAATAAAATATTGTCGGTATTTACCAGATGAGCATATTCATTCTAAGTAAAAGAAGAAAACACCTAAGAAACTAACATACACCATACAAAGGTTTATATATGTTTTCAAGGTAATATCAATTATTTTGAGATATTTTTAACATGATTTGTTTACTGAATAGTGATCTAAAAATATGTAGTACCACTAATATTTTGAATTGTAGAAGTCCAAACATCAAAATAAATAAGTTGAAACGGAAAAGACGCAACCAAATTAGAAATAAATACAAGATCCTAAAAGAATGGATCTTATAGTTACAACAATACATTTGAATAATCCTATCTCTAACTTATCCGTTTACAGGTAGGCCCACAGGTATCAGGTGTACCCTATTTGTGTGCTGAGACATGAATTGTTGTTGTCTGACGGTGCCACCATGATCACCACCGCGCCTAAATCTCTTATTAGCATGTCCATTTTTGTGGCTGCCTCTACCACTACATTAATTGTTGTTGGTGTTGGGCGAGTGTTCGGTAGCAAGGATTGTAATTTGTAAGAAACGGTACATGAGTGAACTTGATCCATACGATGTTCTTCAAGATGTATGGATCTTGTTTCCATGAATGTGGGAAGAGTGATGGTGGATTAAACTAGCTATATATTCAAATTTTGGAGACAATCTGTTGATGGTGTACATAACAAAGTTCTTTTCAGGGACCACAACATCAATTGTGGCAAGAAAGTTACTTCCCAATATATATCATGATTTAAAGACATATAATGTGATTTGTATTAAATAAGAATAAGATGACTGATTTTTTTGACATCAAAGCCTAAATAAAGGCTTTTTGGCAGGAAAGTTAGGCCAAACCGGTTATAAAATTATGCCCTAGTCATCAATTCTGATTGCTCCATGTATTAACAAAATTCAGACTACGATTACATTGTCAAGCTTCAAGTGCATTAGGGCAACAGTGGTAACTCATTTGAATGACTTGTCATAAACTTACACACACACACACACACACAAAAAAAGATGGTAAAACTTTGATAATTGAGCTACATGCTACAACATATATATGCACAATCGTCAAGAATTGCAGAATACCAAACAAAATGTACACATTGATGACAAAACCCAAGGAAGTATTCTTCCAAGATCTCCTACATTACATCTTTATCCAAATCCACCACACCACTTTCATTTCAAAATTCAAACCCACCCCATAATTAAACCCCACACCACAATGGGCAGTTAGTTAGTTACCTTATGAAAGGAAGGAAACCATGCAATTGAATATATTGAGAAAAAAGATGAGATGATATGAGACATCAGGAGCTTTGCTTTTTAATATTTGCAGAAGACATGCCACTGACATTCAAAATCAATCATAAGCTTACTTAATTAGTCCATATCAAGAAACTCCATCCTTTTTCTCATTGAACCCTTCAGATCTGTAGCATCCCTTTCCACTTTCTGAGCCTGCACAATACAATGGGGTTATAACTTATAATTATGTTACATTTTTTTTTCATTCAGGAATGCTCCATTCCATTCTATTCATCTGCCAAAACAAACGGTTTTTTTTTACTTCCGATGGAATCAACCATTCCATTCCAAACACCACCTTAAAATCATTACAACCAGAGCAACTCATGTGGAAAATGAACAGGGTTTGGTGAAAGCACTAACCCTTTTTATCTCAGCATCAGAAACCCGTGTCATATGAGGAGGGAGTTCTTCCTTCTCCAGATCCTAAGCATTCATGAGAAAAGAAACTGTATCAACATAACAAATATCTTGAAATAGAAACATATATACAAAAAAAGAACTTTATAAATGTAACATTCTTTTATAAAAATAAAACATCATACCAGCTCGCCAATCAAAACAACATTCTCTCCACGGATTACATAAAGACCTAGTGAGATATCACAATATAGATCACCAACAATTACTCGTTCACAAGCCCCCTCAAGAACAGCATTAGCTGCATTTTAATTTCGACCACACACGCTTTCTTAATAACATTATTTACCAAAATACTTTTACTAATGACCAAATTCAACAATAGTGAGAAATTTCAGTACCAAATTGATCAAAAGACCGAAGTATCCCCAACAGCTTCCTACCATCTCTTAGCAATACCAAAAGTTTCTCTGTGGAAAAAAGTGCATATGTATAAGCTGATTACATAAAACTCAAATGAAACTACAACAAAGAGAATGTCTCAAAATAAAAGGAAATTCAGTTACCAAATCTAATTCCATATTACAATCCCTACCCAAAAGACAAGCATACAGTATATACACGATTAACTGTTGCAGGAATGATATCTATTGAAAAAATGAAATCTACAATGCAAATGCCACTGACAATTGACAAACCAACAACTCGAAAATAAAAATAAATCAAGACTTTGAAATTTTAAGAAGAAATGGAAAAGGGTATGAAACATACTGTCAAGATAGCTTGCAAGAGAAGTAGATAGATAGACATCTTCAGGACCTGCCCAAGACATTGCACTCCAGGTTTTTCGGCGTCTGAAAAATCACCGAAAACTTCTTTGAAAGTGAAAAAAATCGCATTGGCAGCCCAAAGTTACTCTTTCGATCTCAATTCCAAGCCCTAACACTCTTATCTCCTACTATAAATTTCTGATTTTTATCAAAGGGAATTATACCACTAGTAGTATAAACGATCTGCTAAATCGATACAAACCCTACAACTATCCCCAAATTTTGAATCCAAAAGGCACTCTCTATATCAAAATACAGTAAAAAAGATTGCTAGTTTTAATTATTTTTCTCCCTACAGATCTATCTATAAACCCTAATTAACAACCCCCAAATCTGAAAGGGGAGGTGATTTGATTTGACGTCCGTGTGCCAGTTTCATATTTTACCAATATACCTCTCGAAAAGCATATTTATTATTTGGCCATTCAAGATATCGTTGATAGTAAAACTGACCCTCTCTAGTCTCTCGTTAGTCATCAATATGCCTAAAAAAATAGGTATTTTTTTTTTTTAATTCACTCAATATTTTAAAATTTAAATGGATA